TGATATATCAGAGAATCTCAGAAGAAGAATAGCTTGGGGGGAAGACTCTGAAGACTGGAACTTTTTCAAATCTCTCCCTAATCTTTTTTTTTTTCTCAGCCCTTAAGGTCACGACTCTTGTTTTTAAGGGGAAAAAATATCTTTAAGAGCTGATGTCTTTTCTTTCAGGAAATTTTGTTTTTCATTTCTATAGTTCCTGCCTTCCCAGTTTCATTCCTTCCAACCTTCACACACACCCTAGCAGAGTATAGAATATGCAAGAAAACCCTGCATATTTCAATCGCCAACTCACCAACTATTCAGTGGTAGGATTCAACATTTTTTTTACTACCGGTTCTGTAGGTGTGGCTTGGTGGGCATGGCAGGGGAAGGATACTGTAAAATCCCCATTCCCTCCCCACTCCTGGGGGAAGGATATACTGCAAAATCCCCCTTCCCTCCCCACCCCGCTAACCTGCTTTCCAGTTCCGTTCTCCCGTGCAAGGCAACCAAAGGAGACCCAGCCAATCAGCTGGGACTCAATGGGAGGCAGAGAATAGATGGGGTTGGCAGGGCCAGTCAGAGGTGGGATTTGCCGGTTCTCCGAACTACTCCAAATTTCCGCTACCGGTTCTCCACAACCTGCTGAATACCACCTCTGCAACTATTCAAGAGAAAGGGCGCTGGGGCCTGTTTTTGAAGAAGGTCACGCACATCACACACAGGAATTTTCACACACAAAATTGGAATTTTCTCCAATTTTCTCATAATGAACGTCACAAGGCTTGTTTAGCCTTGTGATGTTCATTACGAGAAAACTGGAGAAAATTCTTAGGCGCAGCCGCAAACATTTACCTGATTCTTTGATGGTTAATGTCTTCCATTGTGAAATTATAGACCTCCGAAGACTCATCCGATTGCCCTCGCATAAGACTGCCGTACATCGGAAGAGAAATTAGCTGAATCCTTATCTCAGAATCTGGGGAATTGTTATCCTAGGAGTAGAGGTAAGATTAAGAGGAAAAAAAAAACACTGTCATATCCATTCAGATAATCATTGAACAAAATACGAAAGATGCCAGCTTTTTTTTTTGGGTCACCACATTACAAAAAAGATGTTGAGACTTTGGAAAAAGTGCAAAGAAGAGCAACTAAGATGATTAAAGGACCGGAGAGTAAAAGATATGAGGAATGGTTGCAGGATTTGGGTCTGGCTACTCTAGAGAAAAGAAGGACTAAGGGTGATATGATAGCATTGTTCCAATATTTGAGGGGCTGCCACAGAGAGGAAGGGACCAAGCTATTTTCCAAAGCACTCGAAAGCCAGACAAGGAATAATGGATGGAAACGGATTGAACCTAGAAATAAAGGAGAAATTTTCTGACAGTGAGAACAATCAACCAATGGAACAGAAGTTGCTTTTGAAAGTTGTGGGAGCTTCGTCACTGGAGGCTTTCAAGAAGAGCCTGGACTGCCATCGGTCTGAAATGGGGTAGGGTCTATTGCCTGGGAATGTTGTGGTTAGCCGGCAGCAGGTGCGGACGGCTGAGGAGAGCGAGGACTCAGATGAGGGGCCAGGACCGTTAGGGAGTGGACTGCTGCCTTCAGAGATTGTGGGGGCTGGCAGCAGAGATGAGGAGGTTCCCGAGCAGCCTGTGCCAAGTATGCGTGCGCGCAGGATTGCTCGTATGAAACAGCAGCTGCAACAGCACGGGCGACTCGGGAGTAAGGCTGCAAGGTAATGGCCCCTCCTTCAAGAAGATAAAAGCCGGCTGTGAATCGGATGTTCTTTGCACGAAGCAAAGATCTGTTTTTTTATTATCTTTTCCAGTATCTTCCCGGGTATTGATGTTAGGCTGATTTAATGACTGTGGGGTTCACTTAACAAACACCACAAAAAGGGTTTTTAAATCGTACATGGTCATATGGTTACCCCTTAACAACTAGCATAATTCTGGGCTTAATTATGGTTATATGTCATGGACTACCTGCAGAGTACATAAGAACAAACTTGCTCCTATGATGTTATTCTGTACTATTCTGTTTAAATTCTGTTGCACTGATTGTAAAGTTAAAGAAAAAAAAATTATGCAAAGTATTATATACTGCAATTCTAATTGAATAAAAACTTTTTAATCAGTTGAGTCAACGGATTGATTGGCCTGGTGAATCAATTGATTAAGGGGAGAACTTTGATTCTTTGCCAGTTAATACATTGACTTAAAAAGTATTTAATTAAGAGAGGTACATCCCATTAATTAAGATTTTTTTAAAAAAACTGCTGATTATTTTGATTTCAGTAATGGGTTTATTGGCCTTCTTTAATTGAGTACATATATATTTATTCATTGAAAAAAGGTATCAGTGAAGCAAAAGATTCTTCAAAACCGTTCATGACTTCAATATCAAAACATTACAAAATAAAATAAGCCTACGGATGTAGCACATTCATCAATAATTATTCAACCATAAATATCACAAAATCAATTGTAGCAGTAAAGGTTACACATATACAAGATGTTATTCGAAATCAGTCAACCTTTAAGAAATCCTCAAGTCTTCATTTACACTAATATTACCCACAATATTTAAAAGGGGAAAATATACATAAATAATATCAGGTGTGAAGAATCAGAAAGAAACCTTAAGTTCCAGTCAAGCTGATTTATTGCTCATACATATAAACATGAATCTAGCCAACTAACGGTCAGCATTAAATTGGAGCTAGATAGGAGTTAATAGCATTCAAGAGAGATTGGATTTAGACCGCTTGTGAGAACATAATGACTCTAAGCCAGTTCCTCTCTTGACTCCACCCTCAGGCTTTGTCTGTCCTTCTCCTACAATACAGGTAGTTCTGTTCTGGCCTGTCGGCTGTTGGCCCCTCCAGCAGCCGAATCAGAGGAGGAAGAGGAGGCATGGGAGTCAGGGTCAGCATCAAGGCAACCTGAGAGCTCCGTGGAGGAAGAGGAAATGGAGTTGTCAGACAGAGAGAGAGACAGAGGCGGAGCCTGGGCCATCCTCAGCCCTCAGATGGAGAGTCAACATCCCCCAGGTCTGGAGGTGGCTGATGAGGAAGAGGAGGAACAGCTGGGTCCAGTGCCAGACACTCAGATGCACAGAAGGCAGAGGAGAGGAGAGCAGTGGAAATCTATGGGCCGGAAGAACCATGGCTGCTAGCAAAGCCCCACCCTAGCTCTGAGGATAAAAGGCAGGGGGCGGAGATGAATAGATGTGGCAAACAACTACAGGCATGATATTCCCCTCAGAAAAAAAAATCGGGGCCGGCCAAAGAAATCGCCCGCCTGCCCGCCGCGCGCTCCCGCCCGCCCCTCGCACCGACCGCCGCTCGCACCGACCGCCGCGCGCGCGCGCCCGCCCACCCGCCGCTCGCACCGACCGCCGCGCGCGCCCGCCGCTCGCCCCGCCCGCCGCTCGCCCGGGCGATTCCGAAAAAAATCGGAATTCCGATTTTAATCGGAAAAATATCATGCTTGCAACTATTAATCTCCCTGCTGGACAGACTTTTTAGCTTGTGGTGAGAGAGAAACTTTTAGCCAGGATTGCTGGCACTCCTAATAAAGGAATCACTGATTTAATTTCAGAGCGTTTGTGGTGTTTGGGGAGCTGGGTCAACGGAGAACAATTCTTTGAGTAACTGTTCAAATATACAAACGCTACCGAAAAAAGTGACTTATGACCGTTTTTCACACTTATAACCACGGCAGCATCTCCATGGCCACGTGATCAAAGTTCAGATGCTTGGCCATCGGCATGTATTTACAATGTCCCGGGTTCATGGGAACCCCTTTTGCGACCTTCTCATAAGGGAACTCAGTGGGGAAGCCCAGATTCCCTTAAAGACCATGTTAATAACTTAACAACCGGAGTGATCCACTTAACAAGTGTGTGGCAAGACAGGTTGTAAAATGGGGCAAAAATCACTTAACAATTGCCTCACTTAGCAATAGGAATTTTGGGCTCGATTATGGTCATAAATCGAGGACCACCTGTAATTCAGAAGATTGAAGAGCATGTGGAAGGAAGAAGGGTAGTGATGGCATAACAGCGAGGCTCTTATAGACTGGAACAGAGTGGAGGATATAGCAGGAAAACCCCTTGCATACAGGTAGTCTTCGATTTACAACCATTCATTTATTGACTATTTATTTATCATGACTCAATATGAATCAAGTCTCTCTCTGCCTCTCTCTCTCTCCTCCTCTCTTTCTCTCTCCCTCCTTCTCTCTTTCTCCCTCCCTCCCTCTCTTTCTCTCTCCCTACTCCCTCTTTCTCTCCCTCTCCCTCCCTCCCTGTCTTTCTCTCCCTCCCTCCTTGTCTTTCTCTCTC